GACCTCTGAAACGTTGGTAAACATCGACCAGACTACACAGCGCAACAACCCAGAAGACAGAAAGCTTCATACTCATCGCCCTGATGACGGAGGCAGTATGACCTCTGAAACGTTGGTAAACATCGACCAGACTACACAGCGCAACAACCCAGAAGACAGAAAGCTTCATACTCATCGCCCTGATGACGGAGGCAGTATGACCTCCGAAACGTTGGTAAACATCGACCAGACTACACGGCGCAACAACTCAGAAGACAGCAATTTTCAGACTCACCGCCGTGGACACATTTATGTTGCAACTTTACATCGTCAGATAGCCAACTTTTTCAGCTGAATTCCCTTTCTTAGGCTTAAATTGCCAGCATGCTGTGTGTCTCATTTAAATTACTGAATCGATGCGCTGATTTTCATTAAAATTTATGTGAATCTTATGACGTTTTTGAGCATCATGCCAACCTGAAAATAAGCACGGTGTTAACGACAAATTTATGTTGGTCACAATGGTAATATTCTTCAAATGTTGGTATCATTAAACGTAGAAAATCTACCTTTGTGCTTGCCCGCACCGACATGTGGTGGGCTTCCCCCCCTCCCCGAATTGACGATTCTCATTGTATATGAGCAATATCGTGACGTATTATCGAAATAATTAAACACGCGCGTTCTCATTCCGTACAAGAGACAGAAGGCGAGGCAGAACTCGGCGCAAAAGCATGAAAGCAATTTACATGTTTAACAGGGCATAATGAGGAACACTATTACAGGATTCTACCTTCTGGCTTTCCAAGGTAGCAGAGTGACTGACAAGTTTATATGCGAGTAACATATCACGGCCACAAGTCTACAATGAAAACGGGAAGCGACAGCTTCAATTTCGAACGACGTGGTGCGTCTCAGTCAGTGGAGTGAAGCAAATGGGATGTCTCACAACGCAAACCAACTGTTGTAGGATTTGAGGTTGTCGCGACGGTGAGCCTGAAGGAGATGGCTCTCTTCTGGGTCGATGCGCCGTGTAGTCTGGTTGAAGTTTACCGTTTATGAGGGATATCATCGCCCTGATGATGGAGGCAGCAAATACCTCTGAAACGTCGGTAAAATTCTACCAGACTGCACGGCGCAATAACCCAGAAGACAGCCATCTTTAAATCAACTGTTCCTAAAATCTTAACTTCAGGATAAAGAGAACGTTACTGCTATCCGTTGGGACCATTTAATTTTGTATAAACTCCATCATGTGATTAGTAAATCTTGAAAAATGTAGGTAGTGCAGGTCTGTAAATAAACTTAGTGTCTGTTACATTTCCGTATTCTTTCATTTGCGCGGATTATCCGCGGTTTCCAATACCCGGGAAAATATATTTTCCAACCAACCCGGATAATCGGGAGTCTGTTGTAGTCTGAGAACTGGCAATGAACACAGGAAACACTCTGCCTCTCACAGCGGCCACCAACGCGGACAGAGGACAACGGTCGCTAACACGACGTCGCTGAAAGCAGCGCGGTGCTGACTACTACACCCGCTGACCGACCGCCAGAACATAAGTTTCTTTCAAACGCAATTACCATTCACTTTGTCCAAGTTTCCCCGATCCCATCAGAAAGAAATGCGATCGACTGGACGCTGAGCCCCTCCTTTTGACGCCAGCATTGTCCCGGGTACCCTGGCCGATGAGTTGCGTAACCTCAAAGCGCCTTAGTCACCCCCGATAGCCTCTCAAAGTAAGCGCCTTCCTTTAATTCCTACCATTCATTTGTTCATTTTGCTCTGGTTTACGAAGTCATCGTCTACACATTTCAGTAATTTCGCAAGCTTCTGACCAGAAACAAATCTGATCACAGATCGCTGTGGTACTTCGTTGCATTTTATAAACGAAGTAGCCACGAAAACGCGTCGCAGTGTTACCACTACTTCCCAGGCAAAACGAAAATAACAACTGGTAGGCAATCGTATTGTTCAAATCCGCCAGATCTCGTACTTAAACCAAGCAACGCCTGCCCTTAAAAGAACAGCTTACCGTTCACGCGTTCAATAAACGGCATGATGGATTTCTTTTTTAGTTGCGACGCCTTGTATTCTTACGGTTGCTAACCAACGCTTCGAAATGGGCGTTGTCTGTCGCCTGCACGATAACACGGAATCGTATCCCACAGGACAGAGCAGAGACGTTCTTTGCCGCCGTAAAAATACCGAATCCCACGCGTTCACTTCGAAGTTACGACGAAGACCAAAATGTGTCAAGTTTCAGCCCACGTGGAACTTCGCGGTCCCAAGACGCGGTGGCTACAGTTGAGGCACTTTAGTCAGACCTCACGGGAACAGAGTCTCGTGTCCGCATTACGCAGGGGCAGGACAAATTAATTCACTGAAACGTTTCACACGAATGAGGGAGCATTACTTTAAATTACATAATATTAGCTTATAACCACGGTGGTTTAGCGGTTAGAACGCTGGCCTTGTAATCCTGGGGTCTCGGGTTCGATTCCCGGCGGTGCCCGAATTTATAACTTGTGTTGGGCGAGGCCGTGGTCTAGGCAACACGGAGGTTTTCTCCGTGGCATCCCAACAATTACTCTATTCACACACAGAAGCAGGCAATGGCAAACCACTTCTGGATCATCTGCCAAGAACGTATATGAACAGGTCCCAGTCCGAGAAAAGGATGGAAGGATCCTGTTCATATGGACCTGTCGTCAGACGGAACACTAAATAAAATAAAATAGGACTATATCGAAAGTTGTTTGAAGAATTTCGTTTCGACCCAAATCGGACCTCCGTAACCGTCTTTTACATAGAACTCAATATTAACAAACCAAATATGTAAATAAATAACGCCCACTTTGCTAAAAATTGTGTATACTTGAAGTACTTTACAATATATACACAGGTAACCCTCGCATTACGCGATTAATTGGTTCTGAGAAATCTCCGCGTAATGTAAAATCGCGTAAAGTGAATTGACTTTTACATGGGTAAAATAGGGTTGCGTCTCAAAATGAAAAATTACTCTCTGAAATCCACAAAGAAAAGCATTTTTATTTGTTCTTCAATCTGTCCATTGATACTGTAATTAATTTAATCGGATGATGAATCAACTGATACAGGCGAGTCTAGGATTTTTTTTTTAAATCGCGTTATAACTTTCGTTCCATTTTTCGATATGGAGTGTATTTAACGACGGCGTGATTAGGAGAGTAAGAACTACAGATTATCTAAAGATTTGTGGCATGTCTAGGTTCGAATAACATAACAGAGCATCAAAGAGTGTCTTCGGAAACTCTGTGTACTCCAGATTGCTGAAATAAAAGTTTAGGCCCTCGTTCATTAAGACTTTCTACAACATTGACAGCTTCAAAAGATTACTAATTCTAAAATATTAAAATTTAAGATAATGGTTATTCAATTTATTATCCATAATGTTCAGGCTTACAGATAACATTTTCTAAAATTAATCGACATAAGCTGTGTAATTCTAATATTTCTCACAAAAACTGACTTTGCTTTCAAGACTGAAAAGTTCTCACCAGAAAATGAACAGCCACATTTTGTAAAAAGAATTAGACTTTCAAAAGTTACGTCGATTAATTTTGGAGTCATTTAACTATGTTTATAAGTCATTCGAGTAACTTGAGTTCGGCTGGCATTTAATATATTATTCATGTTTGTATAATTAAAACCTGACTAGCATGATTATTGCCATCCCAGGGATTTTGAAGATTGTAAAGTCCTAACGTACATCATCACACACAGATTACCTGAAGTATCTACAACAAGCTGCATGCAGTCACCTCCCTTTCGAAGGCCACACTGATATACGATTCCTGGCTGATGGAGGTACATATGTTTGAAGTACGTCGAGTTACCACGGGGAGCCCCCACCACCAACCTGCAAAACACACATGACACAACAGTGATATTATTACGATAACTTTGTAGAAAATGATTCAACGTCTGATATTTAAAATCATACAAACTAAAATTAAAATTTTACTCCATTTTGTTTTAATTGTTTAAATTTTATATTTCGTCAAAAAATTATAAACATGACATGGATTAATATATAGTGTCTTAAGTACCTTTTGTTTGTTATTTATATAAATATATATTATAGTATTAGAAACGCTGATGATTTCAAACATTTGCAGCAAAATTTGTGTTTGTTTAAAGGTGTGAAATTTATTATTTATTAACCAAAGCCCTCCACCGGACCCTGACCTGGGCCAACAAAATCCAGTCTCCTTCAACTCCTATCTCCCATAGATCCCGCCTGAGATTATCCTCCCATCTACGTCTAGGTCTCCCCAGCGGTCTCTTCCCCTCAGGCTTCCCAAATAGTGGACCCAACCAACCAGATGGCTTACCAAACCCGAAGGTTCATCACCGAATTAACCAAAGCCCTCCACCGGACCCTGTCCTGGGCCAACAAAATCCAGTCTCCTTCAACTCCTATCTCCCATAGATCCCTCCTGACATTATCCTCCAATGAAATATATAGTCGATGTCAAAAAATGACTTTTTGGGCTAACTACGGATAAAATAATTATTTTAGCGGATGAGAAAATTCGTTATGTGGTTTAAGTCATGGTAATGTCTCAGAAAATTCAAGTTTTCTGTAAAAAAAATTAGCATATTCTGGGGCTCATACCTTCAGTGGAACAAACAGTTGGTTCATCACTACTGAACTTCATAATCTACAGAGAGGGCTTACATATTTGTGGACCACAAAGAACACGACAGATAATTAAATGTTTCTCATATTTTAACAGACATGATCATATCGGTAAGAATTTGTAATTGCCCGTTCTAAATTCTGAATAATTTAAACAATCTTTCAATTCTTACACTCGGAATAACTTGAAACAAAATGGTTGCATAACTGAGGATTCTTTAAGTATTTTATGTAGTTCTTAATAATTTTTGCACTGATTGAAACAATTTTAAGTTTCAGTGTATACTGTATACATATAACAAGTTTATTTTAATTGAGACATTTTTACTCCATCTTACAAGTTATTCATCTAACTGACGGTTAAGATGTTTGACAATAAAGTACCGAGGAGAATATTTTGATCTATAAAAGCCAAAGTACCAGAAAATGGATACGACTTATCTATTCTCTTGATATTATTAAAATGAAATGGTCAAATATATGCAGGCAAATTTTGGAACAAAAATTTGTGGACAAGATACCAGTTTGTTGACCTTAGTGTCAATTTAAAGATAATGTCAAATTTGACGTTTTTAAAAACACGACAAAATCTTATGTTCTTATGGCGATGATTCAGAAGATGACTGTCTTCTGGATTCTTCAGCCGCCTAGTCTTGTAAATTTTTAATGACGTTTCAGAGGTATACAAACTCCATCATCAGGAAAATTTCCCTGATGACAGCAAGAACGTTTACACCATCGGTAAAATCTACCAGACTACACGACATTACAACCCAGAAGACAATGATCTTAATAAAGACAAAATTTCGGAATCCATACATAGGTAAATATTTCTAGCCCCCCTTCGTGAGGGCCCTACACAATTACGCAGAATAATGTAGCTAAGTGCATGTGATATTGCACAACATCCCATCAGTTACGAGTTACAGATGACAGGAAAGTGATTAAAACCAATTTACCAACAAGAAAACCAGACTCAATGACGTCAGAGACCTGTTCATTTGTTTCTTTAAAAGGAAGTCCCCATGTCCACTGAGTCACAAAGTACAAACGCAAATACCCGATGCCTGAGTCTGCAGTTCATTTACGTAACGCCCGAAGAATTCAGGTTCAAAAAACAAGACAGGAAATTTGTTGCGATGTGAAACATTTCGGAGTTCTAATGCAAATGGCGTAGTAGTTGTAGGGTGAGGTTAGTTCCCTCTTCGTCTACATACTTCGGCTTATTCCAATTCAACTCAAACTGAGACAATAAACATATACGACATCTTTGTCGTGTATAAGACAAATTAAAAATTAAAACAAGTAAATACAACGGAGAATAATAACTTGTGCGACATTGTTGGGATAGGCTATGGGACCTGT